CCGCGGCTGGAAAAAAAGCCAAAAAACAAAAACAGCTCCATGGTTGGGCCACGGCGGCCACACCCCAGACTGGCCACGGCTGAGATGTCTCGGCCACACCCCGGACTGGCCACGGCCGAGATGTCTCGACCACACCCCAGATTGGCCAGGGCCGAGATGTCTCGGCCACGACCGAGATTCACAGGCACTTCCCTTCACAGGCAAACGTGAAGTCTCAAGAGTAGCCTACTCCGAAGAAGTGGGGGGCTCAGGCCAGGGATGGAGGCCAAAAAAAGAAAAAAGAAAAAGAAGAAATAAAAAAGTAAAGAAACGAGGAACTTAGAATCCAGACTGCTTAGGTTCGAGGAGGATGATACAACAGTCAGTTGGTCCGGCCTAGTGAGAATCAGAGTCATAGAGGGTACTGACCACACACACCACGCGTTTGAACTGGCCACCCCTATCTGCRCTCTCTCTTTCGACCCAGCTGACTGGGAATGGCCACAGACAGGGGAACGAAAACCACAAAATCTGTGGCAATACACAGTCAAGCAGGGGTATCGCACACTGCACACAAAACACCCGGTMGCCCAAATGATCCAAAACAGATGGGAGAGAGACTCGGTACTCCACGGCATAGACTGGGGCCAATCCATGTGGGCGCCATACTCAGATATTATGCCCACATCGCATAGAGCCCTTCAATGGCAAATCCTGTACCGCTGCCTTCCTACTCCGGACTGGATTGTGTCAAGGACACAGCTGGAGCAGAGAGGTTGYCTCTCTCCGATCTGTACATACTGTGGCAGATCCACCCAACCCATGAGAGCCACATTGGAACACTGTCTTCTGGCCTGCCCGATGGCTGCCCAGATCTGGAGGTGGTGGGACGCAGCCTGGCATACCCTGACGGGCTTCCCCTACCCGTGGGACTTGCCACTGCTCCTTCTTGCAAAACATGCAGGCGCCCCCCCCCAGTGGACCTCATATGAGTCCAATATGTTCCAAACAACCAGGTTGGAACTCCTCATGGTTGTGTGGAGAGCACGCTGTGCATTCGAAAGACACACAAAYGCATTTGGTTACATCCAGGCCAGGGAGCACATGGCGGACTATCTCCACATCACAACCAAAGCCGCGTGGGACAATCTCAGAGCCGTAATTAACTTGATTGAACAGGATCCGCTACTGTCAACATCATCAAAAAAACAGAAAGTGGATGATGCTACGACCCGATTCTTGGATCAGTGGCTGGGGCCCCGAAAAACCTTGGCTGACATCGAGGATTCACAAATAAAATGGAAACATTGGAGACAGGATGAAAGAAACTGGCCCTATAGATCCCTCGCTGAGTTCTAGGTCCCATGTGCCGCCACCCCCCCACCCTTTGTCCACGTCTAATGACCCCCCTCCCCCCTTACACTCGCCCTGTCACCCTTTCCCCTTCCCCCCCGTCTCTTCACATCCCGGCTGCCAGTGGCCGACAGATGACAGGCAAGCCTGCCTACTGTTCTMTRCACACACCAAACATGCRACTGAAGGCGGGGTGATCGCCCRGGAAACTCTCTTGGCAGCTGGAAAGATGCGATAACAGAACCACAGGGAGGATAGTGTGCCGGGGAATGGAAAGGCGGGGCSGGAACGGACAAAGGAAAAGTCRGACTGGGGCTTGGGGTCTAAAGGAACGACCAGGCAATGGGAGGATAGTGAGCCTGGGAATGAAAGGACGAGGTGGGAACGGGCGTCTGAAAAATCAGACTACGACTCTGGGGTTAAAGGAATGACCCGGCAATGGGAGGATTGTGTGCTTGGGAATAGAAGGGCAAGGCGGGAACGGGCGACTGCAAAATCAGACTAGGGTTTAGGATCTACAGGAATGTCTCGGCAATGGAAGGGTGCGAAGGGAATGACGCCTGAAAAGTCAGATGGGGGTTGAGGGTTTAAAGAGTTTGAAGGATTGGAAGTGTGGTGACAGRAAAAGGAACGAGGTCCACAGCGGCACCGACGGATGACCTCCGGAGGGGAGAAAGAGGGGATAAGGAGAGAGGGGAAAAGGGGGCACTCCGACCAGGATCATGATCTGGGGGAGAAAGACAGGGGCTGGACGCCAGCCCATTGCAGCGGCAGCAGCTCACCACTCAAATACAGTCAAGCTGAACTGAGAGGCGAAGACGTGAAACGGGGATCGACTGRACTCCTGGGCTACAACATCGAGCAAATGCATCACACTTCGGCCCTTGCGGTGATGAGAGCCCCGCTGGCCGAACGGCTGCATTCCATACTGCAAAACCTCCTGAGGCAGGAGCAGACATCACCGGGTTCT